TTATATATCCTTTTATTTAATTACCATAATATAACACCTAATTCAGTTTTTTGGTGGAGGGGGGTTTCCCAGTTGTATTCAATAAAAATTAATTGAAAAGTCAAAAATAACCATTCAACTTTTACCCTTATCAATCATCAATAAAACAAATAAACAAACTAGTATGAACTTGACTTAGAAATGAATCATAATAATAATAATAATGAGAAAATCACATCTCATTCTAATATACACCTTCATTAGTTTAATTTCTTTGTTGTATCAATGATGACTTTTGTTTAATTGAGTGTAATTATAAAAATTGATTTTTTTTTCTATTTTTTTTCTTTTTTGAAACAGAATTGAAAAAATAAATAAAAAATGAAAAAAAAGAGGATGCCATTATTTACCTGTCAAAACAACAACAACAACGACAAAAAAACAGATCTCCACCCTTCACCCCATACACCACCACCACCACCACTACCACACTTTTTTTCCACTAACATATGTATACAAATATAAAAATGAAAACAATAAAAAAGAAATATATATATACCCTTAAACTTAGTTCCTTTTAATCATGAATATGTCATCATCAGTTTACATGTGAATGAATGATAGTAGGAATGAATAGATTGTGAAATAGGTTAAATGATACAATCGGATAATTATTAAAGCATGATATAAATAAATTATGCTAATAATATACACTCATTTAAGTAGTAAAAGAGAATGTGTAATGAAGAGAAAAGTTAAATAAGTGATAAGAATGAAGAAAAAAAAGAAGATGAAATGGTACATTTGAATTCAAGTAAGAAGTTTGATCATATAAAATGATTATGAAATGAAGAAGACAGGGAAACTTTATTTATATATGTTATTATATAATAAAACTTGTCATTTAGTTAAGTTTTTTATTGTTTATTGAATCGTAACATTTTCTGAATGATAATAATAATAAAATCACTTGGTATTTTCGACAGTTGAATCTAGACAACCATGGAAAACCTGAAAGCACTGGACGGCCGTTTCATCCTATTGTGGGACTCCTCAGCGGTGAGCATTCACGATCCCGCACCCCTCGGGATTCAAATCCAGGACCTATCGGTCTCGCGCCAGGCACTTAACCAACTAGACCACTCAGCCGGCATCCAATGGTGTTAATATCTAACTTCAACTAATCCACGAAATTGAGCGACACATCCACCATTGTCATCAATGAGTTACTACCTCACAACTGACGCGGTTGAACTCCACTGGTATTATTTACTTGAATCTTCCCATTGATGTTTAGGCTGCAATTGATCAGTCTCTTGTTGGTATTTGTTAATACTGTACGTATTGCCTTGATATTGCCTTAATTCACAAGCATTCTAAGCAAGGATGGATAGTGCTTAGTGGTTGAACCAAGGACTCATCAGTTGGATGTACCTGCATCTCAGAATTGATGTTCACTCTGAGACTCGAACTCAATAAATAAACATTGAGATACAGGTATATCCAGTTGACCAGTCCCAAATAGGACGAAACGCGCTTTCTGGATTCCATTGCTAGCCATTATCCATCTTTGTTAATAATAATAATAGTAATAGTTAAAAAACAACGTAGAAGTTTGTACGTACGTACATCAGTTCGAGTTGCTATATCACATTACATTAGCACAGAGATACAATTGTCAATCCAAATCACATAGTGGTAGAGGTAGCAAAAGTGTAAGTAGTAATAGGAAAGATTAGGGTTTGAGGATGTTATTCAAGGAGTATAATCCAGTGAAATGAATTTGGAGAGAGAGAAAAAAAAGAAGGGGATATGAATAATTCAGAAGATTAGAATTTGGAATAACACAAAATGTGGATGCATCTTCGCTATTGCAAACGATTTTAAGCCATGTCATTCAACGTCTCTAACCATCGGTTACTATCATCTTGCGGATCCCAACCAGGTAGTCTACACCTACCAACATGGCTCAGTCCACTTGTCAGTGACTTCATGGATTTGTGTCATGTTTTGGTCTGGCCGCCTCTAGCTTTCATCCAACCTACTCCTACACAATAAAATATTGCTCGTCGAGGTAGTTGGTGGTTGGGCATACGTAATACATGTACCAGCCACCTCAAATGATGTAGTTTCACTACCTCGTCAATTGATTTGCCATCCATACCAAGTACCCGTTCCTTAAGAACTGCATTACTTATTCGGTGGTTCCAGGATATACGAACAATGCTTCGAAGACACCTATGATCAAATACTAGTAACCTACGAATATCCACAGCCATAAATTAGGACGGAACGAAATGCTGCGCAGTAAACCCGACCTTTGGTTGGTAGACGAATATCATGCCTGTAGTAGTAGTGGTAGTAGCAATAGTAGTAGTAGTAGTAGTAGGAGGAGGAGGAGGAGGAGGAGGAGGAGGAGGAGGGGGAGGAGGAGGAGGAGGAGGAGGAGGAGGAGAAGAAGAAGAAGAAGAAGAAGGAATATGAGTATCAGCATTTTCTATTATTCTTTTTTATATTCATATCATCATCCTTAATTATTAAAATAATATTTTGCTTCAATTATTTCTTTTTGCATGAATTCCCTATCATTATTCTTTTTTTTTTTGTTAGTTTAAAAGTGTTGTAATCCACTGACATAATGAATAGATAAAGATATTAAGATTGAATATTAGATTTGATTAGTCTTTTGTTCATATTATTCAATAGTTAAAAGCAAGTAGATAATCTTAATCTTTTTTTTCTTCTTTATGTACACTTTCAGTGATTGATCTCTTTTTTTTCTTTTTTTTGTTTTTTTTTTATATTTTTTTTATATACAAGTTTACTACTATTGTCATCAGTTAGATAAAAAGAAAACATGTCCACATTAATGATAGTGGTAATGTTTATGATATGAATACTAAATATTCATAATAATAATAATAATAATAATAATAATAATAATAATAATAATAATAATAATAATGATAGTTGTGCCTAATTCGGTGTTGATCACCTTTTCTGAATCGACTTTTTTTTCAAGAAAAAAGAACAAAACCAACTTATCTTATGGTTATCTTTTTCCCATGAATTGGTAAATCATAAAATTGACGTGTATACACGCAGATTTGTGCTCATGATGGCATGAATATGCATCATAAACGAACCTACGTACGTACACATACACACGCACACACACATACATACATACATCTATACATGTAATCAGTTTCACGCAATAGATAATTCTTTTTCTTTAAGTTAAATATATTGTGAGTAATAGGAGGGGAGGGGGTCAATCAGGAAAATAAATCGGATTAATGATTTTTCTTTCAACAACAAAAAATATTCTCCACACAAAAAAATAAAATAAAAAAAAACTGATAATGAGATGTTGATGATATTTTAATGTTTATGATAATTTTTCTTTTGTGTTATCCATCAACTTCTTTGGACTTGTTTTTATTGTGATATAATAAAATAAAAGATTTTTCTGATATGAATTTCATGGTTTCGTTGTATATACAACTCAGTCATACAGGAGATCAGTTATGATCCGAACAGATTGAATTAGAAAAGAAGCCTCAGAACAGAATGAGTTGGAGAATGCTTGTCGGCAATCTATGCTCCATTGTGAGTAACAGGTGTAAGTAAGTAAGTAAGTAAGTAAATAAGTAAGTATGAAAGTGATCGATAAAATATTGAATTTGTTAAAGAGAATAAGTTCCCTTAAAAGTACAGGTACATTTTACTGATGAGTATGAATTGTAATGAGTTTTAGATCTAGAATTTCTAGTCAATTATCACTAGGGATCACTTAATGAAATTATTCTAGTTTGTTGAAGTATGGCTTTTGTAAATATTAAATTAGTGTAATTTATAAGTTTATTTCATTGATATACTTCAAAGTGTATGTTATACTTGTACTAAAATGTTAATGAAATATCTATTTCAATGGTTGAGATCATGAGTTAATTGAAGTTAGACCACCGTGGAAAACTTGGAAGGACTGGACGGTTGTTTCATCCTATTGTGGGACTCCTTATCTATTTATCACAACAGACTTAATAATAAGAATGGAATAATAATTGGTTTGTAATTCGATGATAATATAATACAAGGTAATTTATTCCGCACTGAGTCATTCATTTTATAAGTATTAGTGATAATATTCGACTGTTAGAGTAAAGTAAGTGTTATGAGTTTCGAACCAGAATCTGTGCTTAAACTTTCAATCCAATTTTAATGGAATTATTTCTGAAAGATTGAACTAATCATCATACATTACACTCGAATAGACTATTAACTGGAGTTAAGCAAAAAATCATGCTATATGATCGATTTTTCAATATTCTTTTAATATCTTCAATACTCAGTGGCTACAGATATTTAACGAGCTGAGTTAACTATCACTTATTTAATGACGCCTGTCACCCCTAAAGGAACATGGGCCGCCAACCAGAATTCTCCAACTCATTGTGTCCTACGACTTTCTTTCTGGTTCTATCTAATAGTTTTTCATTCTCCTCATGTCTGTTTCCGTTTCTCGTTGTAATGTGTCCCTTGGTCTTCCTCTTCTTTTAAGATTTTCAAAGTTCAGCAAATAAGTGTACTACCGTTAAATTATAGGGCTGAAATCCACTAGTCTATATTTCTCATTTCGGTCAAATAGTTACATACTGCATCCATGAACTAATGTCATCGGTTACTTTTAGATCACTTTCCACATGGTTAGAAAATAATTACAACTTCTAGAATTTTAATAATTTTCTTTATACCCAGTCATTCCTCGACAAAATCTAACATACATCTTCATCCTATTCTCGAAAAATAGTGGAACTGTATCCTATAAATTAACATTAATAGTCAATGGAGATCAGCCTAGTTTACTACTCTACCGTAATTCTAGATTAACAATGTTTTATTCGTGTTGGAGATACCTATGAGATGCACTGACCGATTTGATTGATGTACTTCATGTGTGAATATAATGTGCACTTGTTAAAATAAATAAAAAACTAGAAGTGTATTTTACCCATTTAATGGTAGCAAATCCTAACAGCTCATCCTTTAGGTTTCCATTAACATACGATTCCTCACTGAAAATATTTATCCCTTCCCAAGTATGTACACTACTCGAGTAAATAAGATATTATCCAGACATGAAAATTGGTTTCTTCAGAAGGACTCATGAACCTTGACAGTTCAAACAGGGCTACTTAGACACTAGCAAATAAATGATGATGATGCTTTGGATGATGATGATGATGATGATGATGATGATGATGATGATGATGATGATGATGATGATGATGATGATGATGATGATGATGATGATGATGATGATGATGATGATGATGATGATGATGATGATGATGATGATGATGATGATGATGATGATGATGATGATGATGATGATGATGATGATGATGATGATGATGATGATGATGATGATGATGATGATGATGATGATGATGATGATGATGATGATGATGATGATGATGATGATGATGATGATGATGATGATGATGATGATGATGATGATGATGATGATGATGATGATGATGATGATGATGATGATGATGATGATGATGATGATGATGATGATGATGATGATGATGATGATGATGATGATGATGATGATGATGATGATGATGATGATGATGATGATGATGATGATGATGATGATGATGATGATGATGATGATGATGATGATGATGATGATGATGATGATGATGATGATGATGATGATGATGATGATGATGATGATGATGATGATGATGATGATGATGATGATGATGATGATGATGATGATGATGATGATGATGATGATGATGATGATGATGATGATGATGATGATGATGATGATGATGATGATGATGATGATGATGATGATGATGATGATGATGATGACGACGACGACGACGACGACGACGTTTAAAGATTAAGGATCATATAAACTCCAGATTCTCGTACAATCATCAAACTTTTCCAAGAATAAAATACGTTATTATTTTTTTATATTTAAGATTATACAAATCAAAATGAAACTGAATTCTTCATTTGTATAGTTGATCTAATCTATCAAAATATTGAATAAATTACTTCTTTCTAATTATGTGATATGATAAATTGGTTGAAATCATGATGAAACTGGAATTCATTGATTTAGTTATTTTTTTCTTCTTTTATTGAGTCTAAACTACTTTTCTCTTTGGAGAGAAATGAAGATATTTACATTTTCTTTTTAATAAATAATAAAAGTTTAGAAACTACTGAAAAACAGTAAGTAGTAAGTGTTTATCTTAGTTTTGGTATTTAAATATAAATATGATGATGGTAATTATATATGTAGAAGTTTGTTGCTTTCTATTGTTAATACCCCTTTTTTTGTAATATGTGCATTCTGTATGAATTTATAAACTTAGTGGATAATGCGTTGATTATTTAAGTTACCGTCTCGATATGAACATTAGTACTGGGGATCTTGGTACATCCAGCTGATTAGTTTCAAATAGGATTAAACACATATTCTGAATTCTTCTGTTAGTTACTATACTATTACAACACTGAATAATAGAAAACTTGCATCTCATTGATCACAGGTATTTTCTTCATGGTCATAGATACATCTTAGTGGATGGGACACACATTGAGGAAAGCACCGAACTGTGTCAAAAGGCAAGTCCTCACATGGAATCCTCAAGGCCAAAGGAGAAGAGGAAGACCAAAGAACATATTACGCTGAGAAATGGAGATAGACATGAGAAGAATAAACAAAAATTGGATAGAATTGTAAAGGAAGGCCCAGAGTGTGTTGGGGAATGCTGATCGGCGGCCTATGCTCCGTTGGGGGTAACAGGCGTAAGTAAGTAGGTAAATAAGTAAGTAAGTAAAATACATCTTAATGATGAAATGACAATCATGATAGAATTATGGTCTATAGGAGTTTTCCGTCATCTTAACCTCGATATGAAGTGAAACGAAACAAAGATTATTAGCCATATCCGAAAAGGACTGCCATCAGAATTAACATTAGACAATGTAATATTTGTTTATGATTAAATGATCAGTTAGAATAAATATTTAATAATAATGTGGAGTGAGTAACATTTGGTTGTAACGTCTCTAATCATTCAAATTAATCGGCATACTTACATCACGAACTGACCTTAGTTACAAAATCATTTAACAGTTGTTCTATGCTTATATATGAATATCCATCAATATGTATATGTAGAATCCAAACTAAGGTTTGGATTGAAGAATAACTGTCTAGGTAGTTTAGATACGCGCTATTGCCCAGTTGAAATCAAAACAAGGTGATTGGGTAAATGACAGTTCACTCAGTTATTGAACCACTATTTGTTCAATTAATCAAATCATTCGCAACATATAAATGCTAGTCTATCCTTTCTGGATAGATCACGTACAGATTCGTTCGAAAGATAGTATTTGGTTACGTTATAATACCGAATGTTTACAATTCTGGAAGAATACTTCATTTCATAATCAAAAATGCACAATTCCAGTCAATGCAAGCAACACAATCAAAAGAAGAACAATTCAATATGGTTTTCGCCAAGACTAAATATCAACTAAAACAGCATAAATGCAGTTCAGGAAGAAACATGAAGACTCGGTGAAAGCGTAAGGAAAACAAAAACTACAATAAAATACAAAAATTACCATTTCACATGGAACCAAAATGACTAACAAAATGTACAACTGAAGGAATCAATAGAAGCAAATTACAAGTGTTTACATGAAGGGATTTTCATACAGAAAATCTTCAAACTGTATCTTACAATATCCAAAATCTATTTACAACTTTCTAGTTCACAACAATTATGTAAGAAAGTTCCTCTGATGATGTAAACTATAAAACTTAACAATCCATAAAGGAACCCATTCATCATAATACTAAACAATAGAATTAAAGCTCATAATCCTAATAGCCTAGTTAGATCTTTGGTAATAGAGATGATCGAATTCATAAATTCAAAAAGAAAAACAACCATATTAGATTATTAAGATATTTTTTTGAAAAAAAAGAAACTACTGATTAGACTACTGAATAATTGAGTAATTTGAATCATACTAAAAAAAACGATCATTCAATTATAGATTATCATTCAATAACGTACTTCACAGATACAAAATGTTGTGAAGTCAATAATAGTGATACGCAAGAATAATAAGTTATAACTAACTGACAAATGAATAAGAAGAAAGAAGAAAAAGAAGAAAAAGAAAAGAAAAAGAAGACAAAATATACAAACACAAAAACATCACATTGTTATGATACATTTTCATAGAAACTGATCGATACATCATCATATATAGAAGGAAAACTGGAGTTTAAAAAAAGAATGCACATTCAAGGTGATTCTTAAAACGAGATATATATATATATATATAAAGTGAAAACTGTTCACTCTTGGTATTTAAATAATTTCTGTCATGTCATAAATCTTATCAACCTTGGTAACATTGATATTTCAATACAAATATACACATTATATAGTTCTTATATATATATATATATATATATGTATATATGGAACCAAATGTATGTATATAAGCAATCGAATTGCTTATATGCATCAACGCATACATACATACATGCATTTTTGATACATCAAAAGATGTATATATATATAATTACATTGATAAAGATTACTAATACTACTTATTATTGTTACTACTAGTATTATATTAACCATAATGAAATATGAAAAGATTAGTATACTGAAAAAGCAACAACTGTTTTGACGAAATAGAGAATGTGTGTGTGTGAGAGAGAGAGAGAGAGTTTACCTCAAATTTTGCTACAATGTAAGAAAATTATTCTTTTTTTCTCTTTTATGAAAGAACAATATTGAATTGGAAGGAAAGACAACAGTGTAAAAGAGACTCTTATAGGAGTAAATAAATAAAACATTTTAAAAAGAAAAGTAACATAAAAGTACAAATGAATGAATGAAATAAAGAGAGAGAAGGACAGTCTTTTATCGTATTTCATTATTGAAATGATTAGATATAATATTAGATGATGGTATACCAGGACAGAGTGGGTTGGAGAATGCTGGTCGGCGGCCTATGCTCCATTAGGAGTAACAGGTGTAAGTAAGTAAGTATACCTTATTAAGTGATATCCTTTATTCAGTCATATAATAAGATTACACATAAATATAAAATCCATAACTATTATAGAAGAGAAATGTTTCAAAGAAGTAAGTGGAAGAAAAACTCATTGAATTCTTAACCAAATATGGATAGTGACTAGGACATGCATTTCGTCCTATTTGGAACTCATCAGTTGAATGTACCTGCATCGTAGAGTTGATGTTCTCTTTGAAACTTGAAGTATATATATATATATATATATATATATATATATATATATATATATATATATATATATATATATATTCAGCTTTATTCAATATTATATTTTTGGTACAATATAGAATTCTCAGCGTAAAGTATTTCAACAAGTTTCCATTTCTTTCTTCTTGGTCGGTCCTGGCGATAAATATTGAGTGATCGCCAGTTAGATGTTAGCACTTCAGTAAATGAACATCTGAATAATGTGCATTCTTTTCGTTGTATATTGCCAGCAACCACATTGTCTCTTATTGAGCTTTTTGTAACCTTGACAACGAAAGGTTGTACACTTTTCAGAAACGCAGCAGAATAGGTTATACGATTAATAAACATAGTGATATATTAAAACAAACAAAAACAGATAACTTGTTGAAATATCTAGATGGCAGGAACGGGTAGCCCAGATGCTCAAGCAGGCCGCCCAATACTGTTCACTTTAAATGCCATCGCGTTATTCACTTAGCTACTAAGTCTTGGATTCCACTGTTAGCCACTATCCATCTTTGCTTAAAAAGCTTGTGATTTAAGGATATATCGAGGCCAACAAGAGACTGATCAATTACAATCCTCAATATCAATAGGAAGATACAAATAAAACAAAACCAAGTGGATTTAATCATTGAATTGTTATTTCCTTATAAATTGGTAAATTTAAGACAGATTCATCTAATTGATAATCAAAAAATCATGACCTATACGACTGAATGAAATTGTTAATCAGATGAAGCAGACACTGACACTTAATTTCAATATTTTTTTCTTCAAATATCAACACGTTATCCACTAAGCTATAGAGATCAGTTCCCTGCTAAATTTTTCGATGTGTATCTCAGTATAGAAATAAACAGTAGGGTACAAGTTGAGATAAAATGACAGTTGGAAGTAGTCAACAGGAAAATCTGGACGTGAGTTTCATGCTACTTGGCACTTGTCAGCAGGATATACTTGTAATCTTGAGGGAACAGGTGCTCCCTGACGGATTCGATCCCGTGTCACTTGGTCGATAGCATTCGATCTGCACTAAGAAGGACTAGACACATATGAAATTGGTCACCACCCTGTGATCAATCAGTTATAAGTAGAGTACAAGTGCTATCAACTAATAGATTTCAATTATACTAGTAACAAAAATACCTAAATTAATTATTGCAAAAATATTGATTCAGATATCTGTTACTGTTTTAATATTATTCATGTTAATAGACAATAGACATCGATTTATATAAATATAGAGACATAAATTAAGAGAATAATTTGGTAAACAATCGAGCTTTTCCTCCACATGTTTACTTATCATTACATCTATACAAAGATACTTAAAGAACCAGATGGTTTAGTGAAAAAAAGCGAATACATTCTAATTACCAAGTTGTAAAGTGCTTACATTTAACAGGTGTATTGTTTATTTCATTGAATAATGGTAATATAAGTTTATATTTGTATCCAAGATCATATTTTTACTTTAATGGTCAATTAGACTATGATATATTTTTACTCATTCCCTTAAAAACTCAATCACACTTGATGGCGAAACTCTGGAAAATGTGGAAT